ATACAGTAGGATCCATCCAGATTAAGCACTGTTAAGTACTATTCATAAGAGGAGTTCAGCACTGTTGATTTCTGTGAAACTTAAAAACTGCCACAGTTTCTAGTTTATTCACTTTGATGCATATTTCACATTTCAGAACCATGCACTTTTCATGCTGGAACGATCAACAAAAGCCATTGGGCCACATTTCACTTCTTAAGACCCCTTTGTCTTAATCTTTTCATAACCCAAAATTTATAACATGTTCAAATTTCATTTGCAAATTTCATCCTTGCAATTTCAAGAAAGGTGTTGATTTTGATATAGTTGGTTAGCAGATCCAGATAATGGTTTTTGGGTTTTTTGGGGGTTTTTTTGCAACAGCTGTCTGGAAAAGAAATCTAATGAATCCACTGCTTCCACTTTCATATATTAAAAAATCAACATGAATATATACTGTAGATGTACAGTATATGTTGAAAGCAGAGTAAGTGCTTGCAGTCTGTATGACATATCTAAGTTGCCGATAATTTTCATTGGTGTTTACTGGTTTTAATTGTATGGTTTTATGTTGTAAACCACTCTCATTTTTTTCAATGAATAGTGGTATATCAATAAATTTATGTGAACTGCCCTGAGACCTTCGGGTATAGGACGGTATAGAAATTAAAAAAATAAATAAATAAAATAATTTGTTGGGGGGCGGTCTGTCTTATTAAATTGGATCTAGAGTTCACAACAACCTCAGTGTGGGATCTCTGGAGCGGTGTGGGAGGTGTTGTTTGAGGCTCCAAGGGAAATGGGGGAAATTGACAGCTATCATCTACCCCTCTCCATCAGCAGCATTCTTCTGCTAGATCAAAAGCATTGTGTGAACCAGAAGAAGCATTTCTGTTTGTGGAAGATGAAATCCAGGTCTAACCAGTTTTATGTTTATTCAAGATGATGATGATGACGACGACACTCTTACACATATTATAATTTTTTAAAATGCTCTTACACCTTTTAAACTAATCTGGGAACAACATTCTCATCTTCTGCTAATTAATAACAATTCCGAAAAGACATGTTAATAACATTATTGGTGATAATAAATTGTTAAGAACAACAATGCATATAAGTCAAGGGCTTCAATCTTTCAAGGCTTTTGTAATTTAAGTGTTTGAATTGTTTTCTTACCCACTTAGTAGGAAGACTTAAGTTTACCTGAAAAGGTGGAGAAAAATGAGCATTAAAGATCAGCATGGATCATTATTTGTAAAAATAATATTTGCAAAAAAGACTTGTACACTTACAAATTCTCTGTTCAGGCAGGTTTTACTGTTATTCTGAAATGACAATATTATAACAATTTTATTATAACTATGATCATTTTGTAAGTAGAAAATAATGGTAATCTAAAAATAATATTAAGCTGTATATACTTACAAGGCTAATTATTTTATTTCTGAACTCATTGACATTGCACTGGTTCACTATGTTCAAACAACAAAAAGCCACATAAGACAGCATTGTGGAGTTCATTCTGTTTGATGCCAGCAAAGTTGCTAGAGAGACTCCTTTAAATTGAGATTTTTTCAAAATTCCATTTTTCACAAGAAGTGGGGGAAAGACTCGTCTCAGAACCGAAATTCAGTAGCCATTTCCGCTTCTTCTAAGGTAACAGTACATTTTAGTTCTAGTAAATTTGGAAATGAGTCATCTGTGTTTGTGGTTTTCCTTCAGACAGGGAAAATTTTATTTAACTTTTAACACGGTGATAAAATTGACTATGATTGAATAATGTCACCATAGGAAGCCATCAGTGTATAATCTTGATGAAAGTAGGTGCATTTTCCATACTTAGTAGATTCTTCCAGTTGAAACTTCCACCCAATATTGAAAAACTGTTGCATGTATACAGCCTCATTCTGAAGATACAGCATTTCGCTTGATTCCAAACTGTGTCCTACAACATCATGGAATTTTCTTATGATCACAACTGAAGAACTCTTGTTCTCTTACTCTGCTTGGCAAAACTGCACCTTGAATTAATATCACAGAAGCTTGCAAGTGCTGTCTTGAAGAACTTGGATTACATATTAGGTCCCAAAACTTGATATATACCACTATGATAAGTTGTCAAGGTGCTCACTATACACAGTACCTGAGTAAGTGACGAAGCAGGTTGCTCAAAATGAGCCTATCTAATTGCAGAACAATTGGTTCGTCTTGCTTCTAAGATACTTACCTTTCCACCCTGAATTTGCTGGGCTGTGCAAGTTGCAGAACCTGTCTTCTCTCGCCTATGGATAAGGCATTCTACGCATGTCGCATTTTTATAAATTTTGAAAATCCGTAATCCGTCAAGTTGCTAGGCTTGTGACACATGCCAAATGAAAAATAACTTGAAGACAAAATTCATCACCCTCTGCTCCTTTTGCCTTCTTCACTTTATCTCTTTATAGCATTTATCTCGTTTAAAGCTCTGTCTGACACCCATAGAGTTGTCGCAAGGAGAATACCTCCCTCTTTCTGCCCATGTCTCCCTGTTTCTATGCTTGCTTCTTGCCTACAAGACTGAGCAGATTTCCTGGGGTGGAGCAAGGAACCCGCCTTTATCCCTGAAGAAGTGCCTGTTGATGTGAGTGTGTTGTTTGTACCTTTTAAATGCATAAATCCGCAAGCAGGGCCTAGTATAATCTTAACAGGAGTAGCCAATAATGTAGTTGGGTCACTCAAACTGGTATAATATTATCTGAATTCCCTGTTTAGGGAAGCTTTTAATGTTTGATGTATTACTGTATATTAACATTTTGTTGAAAGCTGCTGAGAGTGGCTGGGGAAGCCCATCCAGATGGGTGGGGTATAAATAAAATAATAATAATAATAATAATAATAATAATAATATAATAATAACAACAACAACAAACAACAACAACAACAACAACAATAACAATAACTATTATTATTATTATTATTATTATTATTATTATTATTATTTTAAAGTTACATCCCTTAACTGGAATACCTTAAATGGTGAACTTATCTGATATCTGTTGTGTCAGTGCTTCTATTGTGCGTTAAATGATTAAGGGGAAGAGAAGAAACCTCTGACTTGTTAATCCTTGTGATTTAAACTTCCAAGAATTTACCCACTGATTTTAACTGTCTCTGTTGAATAATTTGAAGGCAGGGTGATTTTAGCTATTTTTGTTTTCATATTATCAGATGCATCTTTGAAGTCAATCAAAAATAAATAATCCTTCCTTGATTTTCTCACTAATTTTTTTATAAATATATGATGTCATAATGATGCTCTGACTCTCTTCTTCAAATTTAAGGAGCACTTCGTTTTGCAGAAAGATATGTCTGGATCAAGCCCAGATAAAAGAAATGAAACTCACAAGTGCTCTACAAATGTTTAGTTAACACAAGGAAAAATAAAGAATGGATTCTGAGAAATCCTTTTAAGGGGAGAATTAGAAAAGATTCATAAATTTAACCACATATTCCCAATAAGTTAGTCTAGGTTTTCTTTCCTTCCCAAATATATTTTGATTCAAATTTTCCCTTACCGAGATGGCGTGATATAGACATACTGCTATTCTTAAATCTATCATGCAAGGTGAATTGTTTCATTGGATGACTTTTATATCCTGTGCTAAATTTATGGTGAATGTTAATGCTGCTGTTCTACTTTTCCTTTCCTTGTTTATTTTATTGAGTGCCCATTCAAATGCACCTCAGAGACCCTTTCCATTGTATTGTTCAAGAGAGAAAGTGAGCAGGGAAGAGGCTATATGGCCACGCTTTTGGCCCTGTCCCCATGAAACATGCCTCCTACCAGCACTGCTCCTTTGGTTGACAGCAGGGAAACCTTTTTGTGTTGATCAAGAGGCTTCTCAGGATCCCAGTGCCTTGATTTCCCAGGGCTCCAGAATCTGTCAAAATCTCCATGTGAAGACGGTAACGCACCCAAGCTTCCCCAACTCAGATGGCCAAACTAAAGCAAAGGCAGGCCTTGGGGATCACTGCATGCCACTTTTCCTCTTTCTGCATGTAACGCATGAAGAGGGGATTGAGCAAGGCGGCTTCCGAAGCTCTTAAAAACTGGGTAGGTTCGTGTAGAACAGGCACCCCCAAACTCGTCCCTCCAGCTGTTTTGGGACTACAACTCCCATCATCCCTAGCTAGCAGGACCAGTGGTCAGGGATGATGGGAATTGTAGTCCTAAAACAGCTGGAGGGCCGAGTTTGGGGATGCCTGGTGTATAATAAGGTGCACTTTCAGCACTCCCAAGCTTTAAAGCAACACTTTGAATTATGCCTTTCACTGTACTTGTACATGCCACGCTTGCAAGCTCTGTGAATAAAGATTGGGAAAATGTATACTGTAAGTGAAATGGGCCATGGGTGGTGTTGGTATGAGTTCCTTTCCATTTTTTGTAGGTTTTAGGAGGGGGAGGATTGTCACCCCGCCATTACTCCTTGGAAGCACCTATCTATCTTTTACTCTGAAATGTAAGTACATAATCGCAAGAAATGTTTGTTAGATGCAATACTTTTTCTTTTTATAATTCAAACCGGAATCTATCCAAGAACAGTGACCGAAGAATGAGGAGGGAAATGAAGGAGCAGGTAGAAAACCAGAGGCAGAAAAAAATCTATCCCAAAAGATGTGATTGTGATCAAATAACAGCAAGAGCAAAAATGTTGTTGCCACAATTTGATTATAAAAAAGCAAATTAAAGAAACTATATTAGAAGTTCAAAGAACAAAACACTGAAAACAGGCAGCATATAACTAACAAAGTCTACAGTTTAGTGTACAGAAGTTTAAAGGTACCTGACTGCAGATAAGACCATTCTTTATTTTATGAATAAATCCAAATGGAAGGCCACCCATTAATCAATTCTGGATTACCCTTATTCATGAGAAACACAGGAGCAGTAAAAACAAAAACATACTTCTTTATTTGTAGGACAATAACAATGATCAATACATACCAAACCCTGATAATTTTCTTGCAGGGTGTGGTATAAATCTCAATTTGAAACAAAAATGAATAGCAAATTCGGCTTAGTAGATGTGACTAGCAATTGTTTGTAAGAATTGTAAAACAACATATTGATATAAGTACCGAAATTCTCCTGACAGCAGCCTTGTGCTCCAAGATTCTACTCAGAATAAACCCACTGAAATTAATACACAGAAGTTAATTTATCTATTAACTTCAATGGATCTACTCTGAGTAGGACTAGCACAAAACGCATAAGGAGGATATATCTTATATTCTTATCTTCGGGAACTCAACACAGTAAAAATCAACTTGAAATAATTTAAAAGATAGGGTAGGTCTATCTTCACGAATGCCTGCAGTACGTTAACAGAGCAATCTAACCCCTACCTTGCATTTGGTGGGTGTGGGTTTGGACGGAGGTGTCCCTCTGGCCAGCTCTCCTAGCTATATTGGCCTCCCACCACCCACAGAGTGCTGCAAGCATCACACCATCAGTGAGGGCATCACTAAATGTGTGGCGGGGTGAAAGTGTTATTGGTTTGCAGCCTGCTCTTGGAAGGCTCTGAAGTGGGGCATTCATGAGGCAGGGAGGGGAAAAGGTTGAGCCAGCCAAGCTCATTAGATCCCAAGGTAAGTCACACTGTAGCTGCATGGTGGCCTGGCCACTGCATCAACTTCAGGCTGCTTCAGCGATCTTACTAACGCTCACCTTCTGCCCTGGCCATGTGCAACAGCACAGGAGATGCAGCAGTGGCGGGAGGTCTGCATTGTGGCCTAAGCAAAGGAAAGCTGACAACCCTATTGTGCTCCAACAACTTAGATACAAACCTACCCATCTGAACCAAGTTCTCTAGAACATAATTCTGCAAATTTTGCAAGTGATTTCTTAAAGGAAATTAGTAATATCCAGCCCTTGCTTGAAGAATGTCATGCATGAAAGGCCAGCATGGCTGAAGTTGGAGCAAAAATCCAACTGCTAAGCTAGAGGCAAAAGAATTCACACAGGGAGCTAATTTCCAAAATGGTAAAAACCTGTAATGTTACAACACAATAGTACTGTTTTTTTGTTTGTTTTTTTACCTTTTTAGTTATTACAAAAAGTAGTTCCCTGACATATTTTGGGATATATCCCAGGCATATAAGTATGCATATATGCCACATGGCACCTGGCAGATATTTGACTTCCACTGATCACAAAAATGGCCTCCCTCCTCCCATCACACATCATTCCTAAAACAGCCATGATATCAATGATTTGTAATGGACAACTTGAGGATATACCATGTTTCGTGTTCCAGACAATATGAATTCCCTCTGTGCATATATACAAGCTACAGGAGAAATTGAAAGGTCAATAACCCCTTGCAAATGTCATTTGTTCTCCTGTTTTCTTCCTTCTCCAAATGACGGATAAAAATAAACATATAAAGAGTTAAAGATTTCCCTTTTGGAAGTGCTGTATTCTGAAATTCAGTTTACACTGGCACTGACCATCAGTTGATATGTAAGCTTATAGAAGAACAGTTAAAGATTGCATCTTCAGTGAACCAACACCACTTCCAGTTTTGGATTAATGTTTACACTTTTTTCTTTGAAAAATTGACAGGCCCGTCTTGAAGAACATCAGACCTTAGAATAACTTTGAAGTCAATAAAAAGAAATCTGGCTTGCAATGCTTGTATGTGCAGGGTCCCAGCTCACCTGGAATCTCATGACAGGGTGGGAAAAAGACATTTGCCTGAATTCTACAGAAACCTATTTGCCATCTATGCACAAGGGTTGTCTATCTTATCTAACTCTACCAAGAATGCTGATGAGTAGTTTTAAAGTGGGCTTAGGGGGAAATGAAATGGAAGAGGGGAGGGCTGCAGCTCATTGGTGGAACCCATGCAGATGGTCCCATGTTCAATATCTGGCATCACCAGGTAGGGCTAGGAAAAACTGAAACCCTGGAGAACTGCTGCCAACAAGCATAGACAATAGTGAGCTAGGTGGATGAATGGGTCTGAGCCGCTGTAAGGCAGTTTCCTGGGTTCCTGAGATATGGACCTGTCCCTAATGACTAAGTACTTGCCATCTAGAAATTCAGAAGAGGAATATCAGAAGAGTCCAGCTGGATAAGCTCAAAGGCACAACTGATCCAGCTTCCTGTTCTCACAGTGTCCAACCAGATGCTTATGGGAAGCCCACAGGCATGATGTGAGTGTTGTGTGCCTCCCAACATCTGGCATTCAGGGAATTGCTGCTTCTGATATTATACTCAAAATAGCCATTATGTCGAGTAACAATTGATATTATGAATTTGTCTAATCTCAATTTAAATTAAAAATACCATAAGTTAAACTACTTCTTCACACAATGCGTAGTTAATTTTGTATGTCCTGAGCCTTCCAACATTTGGCTTCATTCCTTGAGTTGTATCAAGCTAAATTATACTCTTGAGTCATTGAAATGAATGAACCTAAGTTTATCTTGCCCATTAATTTCAGAGGGTCTGGTCTTAGTATGATTCACATTGGATACAACTCCTTTTTAATTAAAACACTTTAAAGTCTGGTTCCTAAATGTACAAAGCAGTTCACATAAAACACGAAATGCGTCCCACTAAAATTAACCACCCCAGGTCTGTTAAAATATAATTTAAGAATTCACTGAAATTATAAAGAAACTATTCCTTTGGCAAAACCAGTCAAGCAAAGTTTTCCTCACCTCAGTAGGAAAGTGGATCAATGGGATAGGCTAGGGGGAACAGTGGTAAGTGCCAGGTTCATAGGTATCACTGTCCTAATCTGGTGCACTGATAGCATAAAGATCAATGCTAGATTTCCCAACCACAAGTGTAGCATGGGATGATGTAGGAAGACAGGATCCATCAGGTTATGTGAGTCCCAGATTAGATGTTCTTAACCAGTATGTTCATACTAAGTTACATGGTGACGGTGTTAATAATCCACAATAAGCACCCTCTGGGTCCTACTGGGCAAAAAGAACAGAGATACTGTACTGCCATTCTTGACACAAGTGGTCCAAGAGAATAGTGTGTTCCACCATAACAAAGGCTGCTGAAGCTTCCAACTACATAAACAGGGAGTTACTCCCCTTATGTAAACAAAGATCACAATTTACAGTATATTTGGGGTTCAGTGGAGCTGTGTTGCACTGCTAATAGTAAAGCAATTTTTATTTCAGAGTGATATTTTATCCAAAGTATTTTCCCTGGTCTTCTAGTTGCAGCAGCAGATAACATTCCAATTGTTAAAGAAAAGCACTACGTTGCCCGATTTGTCTACAGACTGTGTTCCTTAGCTATTTTGGTAAAGCAAAGGGATCATGCAAGTTTTATTTCGTCTACTCCTTTACCATCCCTTCCTGTTTGTTCAAATTCTCTAGTCTCCGAGATGCACCCATAACCTTTATCCTCTCCTATATTTTCTCATCAGATACCTGTCACAACTAAACTGATGCATTCATTTATTTCTTATATCCTGAATTGAGAAATAATGTCTGAGACTGAGGTCTGCTAATCGAGAAACTGGTTTTTACTTGGCTAAGAAGGGCTAACTAGGGGAAATTCTGAAAACAGCAGCCTAGCCTTATTCTGCATGCACTACTCCTCTGCCACCCATTTACTAAAGGAGCCAACTAGGAGTCAGATACCTACAGCAATGCCGAATGGATGGCAGATATACAGTGATTCCACCTGATTTACTTGATCTTACATTTGGATTCTCATTTGGTGCAATGAACCATGCTCCATAAGATAAAATGTCAGAGAGCGCAACATCATGGGACAGTACAAATAATTGTATCACATTTATCACATTTGGGATGGGGGAAAAGAATCACAAGTGTAAATTTGCTACATAAATGCTTAAACTTCATGAGGTTATTACATTCTTTCTTGTCTTACAATGGATAAAGTATCTAGTCACATGGCAACAAACAGGAAGACAGTTTGAGTACATGGGAATATATTTTCTTTGATTCTTCAAGGACCACAATTAACTACTTACTGATGGTGCTAGAAAGTGACATCTGTGGTTGTTTCCCAGCAGAACACGTTGCACTCTTACTTCACCAATAAATGTTTTTTATCATTGCCAGACAACCATGTGCATGTTAAAATTGCTTTTGTCTTTAGAACAAAACATTTTAGAAGAGAGAGGATTTGAATGAGAATTCAGCTGATCCATCCTCGAAACTCTTCAGTCCATGTACCATATCAAAAACCACTCATCGTGAACAGAACATTCTGATGAAATTTCTTCACTTCATATTCCATGTTGGTAAAATCAAGTTTCTGATCAAGGCCGTGCAGTTGATTTGGTTCAGGAAGTGAAAGCAATGGTCAAGTACAGAAGTTCCCTTAGGATCAAAAGAAACAGTCATCAGAAAAGCAATCCCACAAGCTGCCTACATACAGCAACATTTTGGAGACATTGGCATTGTACCAATTTTTGGAATTCCTGCATCATCTCTGGTTGAACTGGTTGTGAATGTTTAAGAGCTTATAAAGCTTAAACTAGTTTCTTGGAAAAGCCAAAACCAACTTCCAGAAACATGGCCAATATTCCTTGCAACAGATCTACTGGATGGGACCGTTCTGAGTAAGCTACTCCCATGACCAGAACTATGCTGTGTCAGGCTGGGTGAGACCCATCTGGAACTCTGGACAGGTGCTACCAGTCAGTGTAGACAATAGGTAGGTAAGACCAGTGTTCTGACACTATGGCTATTTGGGTTTTGCTTCCTCCACTATTTTTATTTATTTTTACTTCTGCAAAGATTGTGATTCTCTCATGCCAGCTGATACTGCCCTCTTGTGTGTGCACAGTGCAGTTTTAGCTATATAAAGAATGGTGCTTCTGTCTGAAAATGAGGGAATGGTGGACTTAGTGGCAACAATCCGACACAAAGGTTAAGGGGTCGAAGGATCTGTCAATTTTAGTTCTCTCCATATCTCATTTTCAAATCTTAAATTACGTTCTCCACATTTTCCAGCAATTTGAGATTTTAAAAAAAGAAATCCTCACAAAAAGTCAATTTTCATGCAAATTTCTCCGAATTAAAATATTTTTATATGTAGTTCTGACCAATGTACCATTTTTTGTAAGCAATTTCCCCTACTGTAATGCATTTTTTGATGTAATTTTCACTAATATTTTCATGTTATGCATACTTTCCCCTAATATATGCATTGCTGTAAATATTGTTTGGGTGAAGAACTGCGTCACAAATTTCAGAGTACTGCAAATGTGTGTCTTGGTTCATATATTGCTTCAAAAAGTGCATATTTGGTAGATTTGACTTTACATAAGTACTAAATTGAATTTCTCCTCCATTCCTAGCCGATCTGGTTCATTTAAAGTCTAATCTTATGCACACATGCCTAGAAGTAAACTTCAATGAGTTGAATGAGACTCATTCTCAAGGCAGACCATGCAGGAATACAACTTTAATTGGTTTTACATTGATTTTAATGTGCTGGAGAGCATTCAAGTCTGTGATGGATTTTAACAATTATGTGAAAGTATTTTTAACTGGTTTAAGTGGAAATTGCCTTCAAATAAATATATGCAGCATCACTGTCTACCTTGGTGTTGCAATAATTCCCTAGCTGTATAGACAGAAAAGGCATGAAATCTCGAAACACTGCCATGCAGCTGACCTGGAATTCAAGGATTTGCTTCTGCTTGTTCTCTTAGAGCTTTGAGTGAAAGTTCATATCCAAGAAACATGGCAGCACTCATTGGGAATCCTCGCACTGCATTCACTGTAAGGCCCCTGAAAAAGACCTGTTCGGAACAAAGAAGGAAGGTTTACATCAAAATAGCTTATCAATTTGTATTTTGGACAGAACAGAATTGGGATAGGACCTAACAAATGGGAATTAGACATCAGGAGACTCCGGTTTTCTCATTAATGTTCTAAAAGGATTGTGATAACTGATAAATGACCAGGGCCGGATTTAGGTTTGATGAGGCCCTAAGCTCCTGAAGGTATATGTCTAGCTGTCCTTTGTCAACAACAAATTGTCACTGTTTTTTGTGTTGAATATATGCTATATGGTAATTTATGGACCTAATATACACAACAGAAAACACTGTTTCTGTATGTAGGTTTTATTTTATTTGTTTTTTATCTTATATTTTGGCAATGTACATCCAGTTTTCTTTTTCTTTAAAAAATTTTGGGGCCCCCAAAAGAGTGGGGCTTTAAGTTATAGCTTGTTTAGCTTATACGTAAATCCAGCACTGTAAATGACCCCCCTCCTCTGCAGCCTCAGAGTCTGAACTGCAATCCATCTCAGACTCTTCCTACTCACTAAACCCTGTCACTTCTCCTGTTGCTGACACCTCCTCCTCCCAGACTACTCCTTCTTCCTCTGACCACTCATTGCTGTTCCACCACCAATCCCCTGTCTCTGCGCCTTCCTCCCCATGTGGTTCTGTTGGGGGTTTCCTGGCTGGTGCCTTCCACAAATCTTCTGCATCCAGCCAGTCCATGACAATGGATTTCAGGAGAATATTTCCTCCCATGTCTGTCCTTCTCACTGATGGTTTTCTCTTTTGTGCTTTTATGTTTCTAGGCATAGAGCCAAAAGGAATTTGAACAAGGTTGTCCCCCCCCCAAGTGATTTATTTTTTAAAAGATGATATATATATGAAATGGATACAAGGACTGGTCAGTGAGCAGTGTTGTGTCCAGGTTACTTTAGGGAAGCTTTTAATATTTGATGAATTATTGTATTTTAATATTTTGCTGGAAGCTGCCCAGGGTGGCTGGGGATGGGTGGGCTATAAATAATAAATTATTATTTAATAAATTAAACAAATCAATATTCCACCCCTCATCATAAGTGATCACAGGGAAAGTCACAACAGTATAAAACGCAATATGAAAATTACATTTAAAAACATATCAGCACCCCCATCTGTCATATGGATCTCAGATATTCAGAAGGCCTATCCGAAAGACTGGGGAAAGGGAACTGTCTTCACCTGGCACTGGAAAATAAATAAATTAGGCGCTAGCAAACTTCAGAAGGAGAAGTTTCCACAATTGGGATGCCATATAGACAACAAGGAGTTGTCTGGGGTGATATTTTTCCCACTGATGATATCTGTTTATACAGCTGTGGGTGGCTGCAGGCAATATAAATTGGCAGTGGGAATATTCATGGCAGCATCCTAAGGCTGATGAGCTGAGATAAACAGGATGATGATGATTGAGGTAAGTGCTGAGATAGCAGGATTTAATCATCTATAAGCAAGTGCTGATTTATTGGTACTGACATTCCACGTGCCTGCTTCCCACATCACAAAATGAGGATAATTCATATTGACCAGAACAACTAGCTAGCCTTGTTTAGTGGTTTCTTATCAGTTATAAACAGCTCCATGATCAACAATGGTTAATGAGCAAAACTTCAAGCTGTAATTCTTTAGTTTGCATGATTTTCAAGTGGCATGAGGCAACATTTTTCACTTGGCAAAAGAATGTCTTTAAAAATTATGGTCCATGGGAATGGGCGATGCGCAGTCTGCCACCACAGCTTGGCCAGTAATATTATTAATTACCTACCCCCCCCCCAACCCAAAGGTCCTATAATGAGTTACAGCAAATAAAACACCATGTTAAAAACAGCTTACAATCATAGAAATAAGGTGGGCCCTGAAAATAAAAAAAATGGGTAGGCCCCATTTACTGGAGGCAGAAGATGGTTATCATGGATATTCAAGACCATTTGGACTTGAATTCCATTTCTTCATTATGCATAACTGTGCTAGTTAAGTTGTAAATAAGGGCTGCCATGGGGACAATAGACCCACATGCAACTTGTTACCAAAACCTATTTCCTGATATTTAGTATTTTGATAGTGCTTACTTTTAGACCTTCACTGTGGTAACTTTGGGAGATACAGTCAATGACTCCTCTGTATTTGTTCCAATAAACCCCGTCAGCTTGAAGGCGACTCTTGACAACATCCATAGGAGTGGCTGTTCCCCAAGATATTGCTCCTACGAGAAAAGGGGAAAGTATTATATATGTATATACAAAAGGTCTTCTGAGCACCTTCATCGAAGAGAATGGTAGTTGTCTTTAGGAGTCAAGCTATAAAAAATATGCTAGAATATGAAATGTAACTTAAGATTGGTAGCTAATGGTACTTGACTTGCTTGTCTAAATACAACATGCTCATTGTTTGTTGAATGGCAGACGGGTGTACTTTTACTTAATAACAAATATATCCACTTCTGAGGTGGCCCTAGCTTGCCATTTAAAATTACCTCATCTGCTTCAGGCAAGCTTGTCAACGTTTCTTGCTACAGCAGGGAAGTGAGACACTTCAGGAAGTAGATTTTGACCTATTTTATTCAATGACTTATTCTGCCCCCCTTCTCCTAAGTGTTTCTCTGTTCAGTACTAAAAAGAGGTGACATTTAAGAACTGCAGAGTTTTGAATGTAGTATTTGTTGTGAAATGTTAATGCACTACAGTTTCATAAATATGGATTGCTTGCTATAGTTAAATCTGGGGCTTTTCACATTGGGCTAAATGTGTTTTTACAGGACAGTGACTTGAGATGGTGTCAGTGTTGTGAAATACTAGAGCAGACATAGGAAAACTCCAGATGTTTGGGACTACAATTCCCATCATCCCTAGCTAACAGGACCAGTGGTCAGGGATGGTGGGAATTGTAGTCTCATACATCTGGAGGGCCGGAGTTTGCCTATGCCTGTTCTAGAGGTCCTCTTCTTGTTAACTGGCAACTACTTTGTCTTCAAGTGAGATGGTGCTAATGTGCTGGAATTGTCACTTAGCTTACTTACTTCAGCTGGGCTTCTGTTCTTCAGTAACAGAGAGCCAACAGCGGAGTAAACTATATTTTCTAAGTAAAATGATGCTCCATCCTTCTACAGAAATTAGCAGGGTGGTTTACAATGAAAGATCCATGCTCATAAAAATGCATAGGAAGGAATTCAATGCCAGCTTGCCAGATGAAACAATCCTTGCTCTCTGCTGTTCTGGGATTTGCCCTCAAAGCTCAAGCTTCCCCCCAAAACCACTCTGGCTCATCAGAAGAACCTCCACCCCTCCACATCTCTCATGGTGGAGAGGAGAGAAGAGAAGGGTTGTTCCTTCTGGCAAGCGGAAATGCTTGCACTGGCAGAATGTTGAGAAGAGCGAAATGTTGAATTCCTACCACTGTATTCCATGTAAACCACTTTTTAATTGGGTTTTATAAACAAGAATAATAATATACAAATAAGCATACCAAGTTTTCTCATGTCATTTGTATATCACAAAAACAGCACAATAAATGTGGGAAAATATCTAAAACATATGTTTCATTATTAGTGATCAATGTATAAATTCTTGGTTTATGAATTGGTTTAAACAATTAGAAAAAGAAGAAAAAAATTAAGGGGGGAGTGGGGGAGTGGGAGTGGTGAGTGGGGTGGGGTGGTTATGCTTCTATTATTCTACTTAGCGTGTGTGAGGGGTTGTGTCAGCGTTACTTGTATGGGTTCTCTTACTGTCCACTTGTTGTATTTCCTTGGTGGTGAGAGAGGTTGGGTGTGGCTAAGGGTTTGGGTGGTTGTGTTTGGTTGGCTGTAGTGAGAATTGTTTTTGTGTGTGAGTGGGGTGTGAGTGTGTATTTTTTAATCAGGTTAGCCAGATTGATTCGTATGTTGTCAGGGGATTCTTCTTGTTGTCTTGTTGGGCTGTGTATGTGATAAAGGGGAACCAAACCGGGGTGAAGGCGTCTTCTTCTATTTGTTTTTTTTATATATATAAATTTTTATTAAAAGTTTCAAAAGTTTTCTATCACAACAAAAACAAAACAAAACTATACAGTAAACAAAACAAACATAAAAACACGTATAATTTCAACCCTTAATTTCTTATATCTTACTTTCTCGACTTCCTCATACCTCCCCTTTCTGTATTCCAATTTCTAATTAATTGTTCAGCAAATCCTTCCCTTAAGGTAAAGGGACCCCTGACCATTAGGTCCAGTCATGACTGACTCTGGGGTTGCGGCGCTCATCTCGCTTTATTGGCCGAGGGAGCCGGCGTACAGCTTCCGGGTCATGTGGCCAGCATGACTAAGCCGCTTCTGGCGAACCAGAGCAGCGCACGGAAACGCCGTTTACCTTCCCGCCAGAGCGGTACCTATTTATCTACTTGCACTTTGACGTGCTTTCGAACTGCTAGGTTAGCAGGAGCAGGGACCAAGCAACAGGAGCTCACCCCGTCGCAGGGATTCGAACCGCCGACCTTCTGATCGGCAAGTCCTAGGCTCTGTGGTTTAACCCACAGCGCCACCTGTGTCCCATAATCCTTCCCTTAATTTTGACTTAATTTTAATCTTACCTTTTCTCTTTAACTTATCCATTACCGCTAATAACCACATGTTTTCAAATCCAGCGTCATTTTAACATTCATTGATTTTGCAATATTTCTTTAAATAGTCCTTAAATTTTTTCCAATCTTCTTCCGCTGTTTCTCTTCCCTGGTTTCGGATTCGTCTTCTTCTATTTGTCCCCATGTCAGTTTCGGGGTATTGGTTAGCTTTTCTAATAAGGCTGTTTCCCATACTATTTGATACCAATGGTCCATGTTTACTCCTGACAGGTCTCTCCAGTGTCTGGCCATGATGTTTCTGGCTGCTGAGAGTAGGTGGGTTATGAGCTCTTTATGATGTGAGTGGGCATTATTATCTTGGAAGACGTTTAGTAGAGCCAGTTCTGGGGTGACTTCTAATACTTGCTTAGTTATTTCACATATTTCTTGTATGATTGATGTCCAGGTTTTGGGACATTTCCACCACATATGGAGGTATGTTCCTGTGGAGGTGCACACTCTCCAGCATTTTGGTGAGGTTCCTGGGTGTATTAGTATCAGTTTCCATGGTGTCATCTGTAAGTGAGTTTCAGGGTGAGTCCTTTCCTTATCGCTGATATGGATTTAAAGGGAGGTTTAGACCATATTCTAGTCCATTGGGTGGGGTTAATCTCATAGTCTATGTTGTCCTCCCATTGTTTTTTAATTACATCAAGGGTTCTGTGGGGTTTTGGAGCAGTAGTTTGTATATTGTGGAGACCATTCCTTTGCCGTGTCCCTTTGTTGTTAGAAGGAGGTTTTCGAAGTAACCATGTAAACCACTTTGAGCTGTGGCTGATTAAGCAGTATAGAAATCCAACTAAATAATTAAAACTAAATTATTGGACTTAGGCAGGCACCAAGCAGATGAGTGAGACTGAGCTAGCTCATTCTTAAGAGGAGATGAGCTTGGCTTGGCTGGTGGACTCAAGGTGTCAGTCAGATGTCAGCTTCTTCTGACTGTGTGCCCTGTTTTCGTCACCTTTTCTCTTCCGTTCCACTGTGACTCTACTGCTCAAAAGGCATGTGCCACCAAGTGGAAGGAGGCAGCCAGCCAGGCACCTCATTGCTTTGTGCAACATCAGACACAGCACACAGCTGCTAAATTATGCACACTGGCCAGTGCATTGCACAGTAATAACAGATTTTTCTGGGCCTCTCCCTGCACAGTGTGCATGTTTGTATAATAGATAAGCACATTAAAGCTTTTCAAAATACCGATGGCAATCCTAGGAGCAACTTATGTGAAAAATAAACGAAATATGTCTTCAATTTAAAACACTTCTAGGGCTACCACTAACACTGCCACCACTACAGAAAAAAGCATGTTAGGAATGAATAAATGAGCTCAAATTTAATCAAGCCTCTAGACAGCATCATTTCTGGTGAAGGAGAACAGAAATGGACATACCTGCGATGCCACCGGCCATCCACACAGAAAAGGGACTCGGAGAAAGGCATCCCTCTGGAGTGATCCATCCACAAAGTAACGTGTAAGGGATGAAGTATAAGCAATATCCCGGAATATCCCTCAGAATCATGGCAGAAGAACCGCGGTACAATCCCCCTAAACCCTCCTGCCGAAGGATCATGCCAACACAGTGAACTGGACCTCTGTAAGCAGTCTCTACTGAAAAGCCAGCCGCTCTGTGCTTCAGGTTTAGGTTGGCTGCTGGAGCAAGGAAAAACATGCTTAGTATCAAGTTACCTAGTATTCTTCAGAACATCGCTTTCCATGTCTGTTTCCTTTATGTTCCTTCTTTTGTTTTGACAATCTCTGTCTGACTAAAAGCTGCTATGGAAGTATTAAAGCAGAGGTTGGCTGGCCACAAGTCATGGATTATTTAGCTGCCATTCCTACATTGCTGGGGGTTGGACTAGATTATCCTCAGGGTCACTTCCAACTCTATGATTCTTCCCAGGTGGTTCTGGGAAGGTGGGGGGCACCTTACCTACAAACCCAGTGCTGGCTCTGGTGCTTGGGTTTGCAATTTAAGGTCCAAACAACTTTCATATTTAACAAAAGTGTTTGATCCAGCTGCTCTTGTTTTGAATAAAAAGTATCTGCACTGCAGAACCTTAATCTGGAACCTGCTCCCATTCTGGTTCTATTCCAACTTTTGCTGCCAATTATCCTTTCCTGGTCTGCCTTTTGCCCCTGAAACTGCTCTCTAAAATACAGATTAAGTGCTAATCACACTAATTTAAACATGTGACTAACGCGATGCAGTTTGCCTGTAGGACAAATAGTTTTGGGAACATCCCTCTGTAATATTACACTGGGAGAAAACTGACAGCAATGGCAAAAAAAGGAGGAAGGAAAATTGCCTGCAGCTTTGATGGTAATCTTTTCATTTCAAAAACAGCTCACTTTTCAAAATGAGCTGTACAATACATTCAGATTTTCTTTGTCATACTCATGTTCTGGCCTTAACAGCTTATAAAAAACCTGTTGTTTTCTATTTGTTTTCTGCTTTAATAAATAAAACAATACTGTGGCAGATACTGTTTTTTGCTTGTGTAGTTCTCTGTAGCTCAAAGCTTGGAAATTAAAGAGCGAGAGAAATTCTCCACTCATATCAGAGCCTCACAATATCGCTTCTATCCACTGTATGTTTTCCATCACATAATTTGAGGTCAGGACTCTGAAGAATCTTTGCACCTTCATGCGGCGAACTATTTATCCATCTGCAATTAGAAGCATTTTAAACTTTTTTGGTCCATAAATGAGAGTTGTATTAGGTATACTTCATTCTACACATATGAGAACACATGGTAAAGTAAAAAAATATTATATATAAGATTGAGCCATATATGTTGGTCATATCTAGTTATAACACCACCGACATATCATTATAAGGTGGGATAAAGCATAAGCTAGAAACAAACACAGAAGATTAAAAAGAAATAAAAAAATGATTTTCTTTTACCTGCAATAAATGTTTGTGTCTGCATCTGCAGCCTTATCTTTACCAGATCAACTGGACCACCAATTCCAACTGAAACAGCCCCTGCTGCCATGCTTGCTAGAGCCAAGTCCGCAAGTGATGGAGGATGGTGAGAATTCCCATAGCGCTGTTGGCTAATGAGCCTTTGGGTATTGCTAAATACGCCGAATACCACTGAGTTGTAGATAGCAATGCTAACTAGTGGGAAAGACATTCCCTTGAAGAACCCAGCCACCTGCAGATGAAAGAAAGTTGGATGTGAATAAGAATGTGTATGATTGTTCCGTCCAGAAAGCTTTAAAATCACCGTTTTACCCAGATAAGACAAGAATGATGACTTAAAAAAACCCCACAACAACCTTCCTTCCTCTTGATACTGAGCAATACAAGAACAAGTGCAGCAATTGTACCCGGTAACTCAATACATTTAAGAACAGCACAACTAAAAGAATGACATCAAACAGCAGCAGACCCTCCAAGTGTCCATATTTTCCAGGGACATCCCTGATATACAGAGGCTGTCCTGGTTTCTGATTTGATCCCAGAATGTCCCACTTTTCCTTAGGATGTCCCTATTTTCATTGGAGAAGTGTTGGAGGGTATGTTAGGATATCTCTATTTTTGTTGGAGAAATGTTGGAGGGTTTGGAGTTCTCCGACCCCTGAGCCGTCTGAAGGCAATCCTGTACAGGGAAGCTTTTTAAAATGTTTAATGTTTTATTGCATTTTTGTATATGTTGGAAGCTGCTCAGAGTGGCTGGGGCAACCCAGTAAGATGTGTGGGGTATAAATAGTAAAATTACCATTATGGAATGGGACGTCCCTCTTTTCATTATAGAAATGTTGGAGGGTATGCAGTGGTGGAGCTATAACACTGTTAAGACCCAGGATGAAAAGCATATCTCCAACAAAAAATTTTTTACCTGCTATCTCAAACTTGACAGTGTGTGGGACAATCACACTTTCTCAGGGAAGGAACTGTCCGATCTGGGTGCTGCCACCAAGAAGGCCCTGTCTCAAGTCACCACAGAATGGGCCATGTTGGTTAGTTAGATCGTGAGCCAGTTGCCTTACATGAAATTAGACCATTGATCCATTTAGTGTTGTATATTCCAAGGACAGTTTCAGCACCTGGCATGTCCTGCTTGGGCCAAACGCTGCTCGGCACCCTTTTTTGGCACTCTGATCACCAACACTGCTGCCTGCCACTAACACCCACCAGCAGCTAAGGCTGCCATGGTGAGCAGGTGGGTAGGGGAGACAGAATAGGATCAGAGGCTGCTATGCTGAGGGCCTCTTCAAATCTAGAGTTGTCATGGTGTATTCTGACAAAATTATATACTTACAGCTTCATTCCTGTAGACAGTGAGAACACATTTAAATGTGTTTCCATAGCCTTGTCCAGCTTGTAAGCGAGTCTGCAGAAGAACACAATTATGAAATTAAACAGAAAGAAATGTGTTTCCAATTAATTGAGAGCACATGCTTTCCAAACAATGTCCACTTTTATTTGACTATAATTCTTGCTTTGTTCCAAAGAAAAATCAAGGCAACAAATCATGCTCTCTGTCCAGTCTATGCATTACCAGAAGCAGTTCTAACCACACTGTGATATCTAAAGCCCCTACTGTCAACATATTTTGAATGTAGGAATTACTGTATTTACTATGACTACTACTACTACTACTACTACTACTCTTCTATAGAGCCCTTCATCTGAGGAACACAGGACAGTTTACAATATAAAAGATTTATATACTGACACACTGTAGGATAAAATTATTTATTTTGGCAAAAGAGAGTACAAAAATTGGGGAGGATCCTATATTATTTATGAGAATGAATCTTGTACATCAGTCTGGAAAATAGCATTTAAATTATTTATAGAATACCAGGTTAACTACTGTCTTACCAAAAATTAAAAGAGGGAGAGAGAGGGAGACAGCACATGTGGGATTTAGCACCATCTTTTACTTTTTCAGTATTTTATTATTTGCTTGGTTAATTATACTATATCATTTAACAGATTTGTTACTCAAGGATTCATCAAAAACTAGTGTGCTGGGCTGCACTTAAGTGTCTCTGTCTGGCTTTAAGCGAAAGCTGAATCCCATACTTGCCCATACACAGACACAAACCATAAGAGCAATCTGGTTTAGCTACATTAAAATCCAGGTCATGCTTGCTTAAGCTACCTTCCAAATTCCTTTTATTCACTGACCATCACATTAATTTCTTGTTCACTGAAATCAGCCCTCTGGCTGGCAGATCTCTCATGGGGTTTAAAGTTTTGTCAAAGTACTCCCTCTGAGCACGGCCTACATGGCTTACTTGTTAGTTTGAAGAGACCTGATGTACTGGAACATAATCCACATTCAATGCACCAAGCTATTCCTCACGGCTCCCCATTCTCACCCCCCTATTCTTCAGGATGCGCCTTTGCTATGTTCATCAGTAAATACTGAATTACTCTATGACTCCACTTCTCCATTCACCATTTAAGACCTTTCCCTTCCCCCCACTGATTTGGAAATGCAACAAAGCTGCCTCGTTGCTATTCCCCTGCTGCATCCAGATCCAAGGGCAAAGAAGGTGCCAGCTTGACAGTTGTCTTTTAAGCCTTGAAAGATGCGTTGCTTGTTTCTTGGCTGTGCTCAAGCAAATGTAGGAAACGTAGCAAAAATGTTCCCACAAGACCTATTGTCGGCTCGCAGCACGCACTACCAGCAGCGACAGTATGAAACAATCCATTTGCCAGAACTGGAAGGCACATATTCCTTCGACGCTTGCTTCATGGACGGCACAACAAATTGTAAACACACAAATGCGATTAGTGCTCTGGCACAGCAACAACAGGAAGGAGGGGGGGGGGAGAGCATTCAGCCAAGCACTGTACTTTGACGCCTCTCGCTTTCAAACCCTCCAAGCATGCACAGCCACAACCCTGTTCATGGGAAGACAGCACTTGCTACACGCTGGAACAGTCTCCTGCAATATCCTGGCCCTGACAACAGGCAGCATCTTCCGCATCGTAAAATGGACAAGGCTGTAAACCAAGGATGGAACAGACACCCAGGCTCAGGGCCGAGTCTCACATGGACGATCAGGGCTTCTTTGCAACCTACAGCGTCATCTGTGTGCATCCAAGTGCTCCGTGGGTTGCAGCATGGCAAATCCATGGTGTAATGTTCACAGTGGCATGCTAAATAAGGAGCTGAAGTCTGGTGGTGCTTTCTGCAGTCACAGTGGCTTCTCTTTAGATATCGTCAGTGCTTTTTTCTGGGGGTATGCATGCCCCTAAACATTTTGTGACTCTTTGTACTTTTGTCCATTTACTGTATTTATTTTTCCCAATTTGAACTATAAATTGGTGATTTTCTTGAGTCAAAATGAGAGTACCCCTAAACATTTTTTTAAGAAAAAAAAAAAGCAGTGGATATTTCCAAGCCACGGAAACAAACACACAAATGTAGGGCATCTCTTGAAGAATCTCCCAAATGAAGTAGCTACCAGTTTCCTATAACATGGACTTTCATTTCTGACTCACATTGCAGAAACCCTTTTTGCCCTTTTTATTATGCCCTTAGAAACAATTGCATCCACCCATTGTTAAGATCGCAGAAGGGAAGGACATCTCATGCAAAGATCTGTTTTTTGTTGTCTGACGTAGAGAGGTATATTTATCTTTTAGATTAGAACATCCAAATTTCTACCAGGGCTTTACAGATTCGAGTAATGAAACTTAAAGGGGGAATGGGAAATGATTTATCCTGTAGAGGTCGGGGAGTAGAAATGTAAACCACTATTATTAGCAGTATTCTTGTTGTTATTAATTTTATGTGCATAATGACTAAACACAATAAATCGAACTGAACATTGCAGAAACAGGACAAAAAGGGAATATGGGCTCCCCCCCCCCCAGGCATAAAGCATACAGACACCTGAAACTTACTTCTTTACTGTATGATACTAAACTTCCTGCCAATTATAGCTAGGATTTGCCATTTTTAAATTAGTCCTGCTTCTGTGAATTAACAGCAGGGGGGGAAAAATAAGCGGGTAAAATATGGAGAAAACTTCACTGATATTTCTGCGACTTCTCTGAAGTTAAGACATAAGAACAGGGTCAGTGAAAAGGTGGCAACCCTAAACACAACTATGGGGGTGTTTCACGCATTTGTGAAATGCTGCCCCAGGCTTTCCACATGACCCGGAAAGCTATCTGTGGACAAATGCCAGCTCCCTCAGCCTGAAGCAAGATGAACGCCACACCCCATAGTCGCCTTTGACTGGAATTAACCGTCCAGGGATCCTTTTACACACACACACACACACACACACACACACACACTGTTGCACACCACCTCAATCTCTGAACAGTGTGCAAGATTCTCACTACGTATCTCACTACAAATAGTACCCATGTTCTCAGTAACATGATCTCTTTCTGTTTTGTATACAGTGGTACCTCGGGTTAAGAACTTAATTTCTTCTGGAGGTCCATTCTTAACCTGAAACTATCCTTAAACTGAGGTACCACTTTAGCTAATGGGGCCTCCCACTGCCGCCGCACTGCTAGAGCACGATTTCTGTTCTCATCCTGAAGCAAAGTTCTTAACCCGAGGTTAGCAGAGTCTGTAACCTGAAGCGTCTGTAACCCGAGGTATACTCAACTGATTTCAGAACGACCGCAACACTATTTACCTTTACTGTGTCCAGAGGATGTCCCACAATTACAGCAGCAGCTCCTGGAGATTAAAATAAAACAACTGAATAAAAAACAAGTCATTTAAAAAAAAACGTATCTTGTTGTTTACCTCAAAGCATGGCCGGGGGGGCAGGGGGGGCGGGCGGCTGCCATCTGAACAAACGACAAACCTCTCTGTTTTGTAAATTCCTAGTCAGCTCCCACCAGCATAATTATGCAAGCTGAGAAAACAATGTGAACCATAGATGGTCGCTGCATAAGCACCCCAGAGGAATTGCTTGTCAGTACAAATCCGTACTTTCTCTGGACCAGGCTGGGTGTGGATTGGACTGGGCAAAAGGGTTCCTCTGCCCAGCTCTGCCAGCTTCTGTCTGCAGAGTGATGCCAGTGCACCATCTCTAGCACAGAGCCACCCTTCTGCCCACCAAACAGGTGGGTGATAGTGCTGCTGGTGGGTTCTCCATTGACAGAAGGCAACAGAAAGCTCTGGAATAGATCTCAGGCCAGCCCCACTGCTGCCACATGATAGCATAGGGTCCAGTCTGGGTCCATTCACTGTGTCATCTCCAGGTTGGTGCAGCAATCAGCCTTCCCTTTCACCCTTGACACCATGCTCAGTGGAGCTGTGGATGCAGCAATGGCCCCACCACTCTGTTAAGCCTTGCCAGGATTAGGGTTGCATCCTGAGCCGGCAATTTCCAACCTGTGTGTCAGAACATAACCAGGGCTTTTTTCCCAGGGAGAACTCACAGGAACTCAGTTCTGGCACCTCTCAGAAGAATGAGGGAAGGGTTCATGGTGAGTTCTGGCACCTCTTTTTCTAGAAAAATAGATCTGAGCACAATAGTTTGGATGCCAGGAAAAATACATGAATGAACTAGCTACAGACCATCAGCTGACATGAAATATTGCCTATTTTCAATTCACCTATCCAGGTGGTACTTTCCCTGTGAGGAATTATGTAGCTCATAACCCCCCACCACTTGTGCTAAAAGTGATCTACAGAATATATTTGGAAAGATTCTCTGCAGCTTTCTTTTACAAGTCAGGATATGTTGAAAGCTTTACCCTTAACATTGATTTTTGCATCCAGTTGATTGTTCACCCGATTTGAGATCAAGATGACTCAAAATTGCCAGGAAACACTGAGAATACAGACAAATAATTAAATATACTATGGATAAGACGTGCATAACATGCATACAGAAATTAAGTTTTCAGATTTCTCTCATGGAAAAAATAAATGAGTTTTGTGTAGATTTTTTGGTTTTTTACTTACTTGGGAGCATTTCTGAGAGTTTTTCAATAAGACAGTTGTGCAAGAGGAGGAGGCTGCCAAATCTGAGCTAACACTCTCAACTCTTACCCACCTGTTTCTCACTTGGCAGGAAAATATCTAATGCATCATCGTCATCTGTGAAGTAAGGTGCCAGGAGAGGATTTTGCTCCTGGGGAGGTTTTTAAGTACAATATTGATGAGGATCCCAATTGTTACCATGCTATTTGGTTTGGTTAACATTGAAACCAATGTAATTGGTAAACCAATGTAAATAAATGGGGCAGGAATTTGCCTACCAATTTGAAACCAATTAGTTTGATCACTTTATTGGCAACTATTATTGGAAACCATCTGGAAACCGTTTCCTGTTTTAGGGTGGTATTCAACTAAGTTTTACTCAGAGTAAACCCACTGAAATGAATGAACATCACAGATTTAGCCCATTAATTTCAGTATTCTGAGTAAAATTTAGTTCCACCCTTTGTCTCTTTCTTTTCAGGTTTTTTGTCATATGTGATGAATTATCTTAATTGGAAGGGATTCCCTTCTAGTTACTTTCAGTCAGAGAAAGCTACCTATACTTTCCTGCACCAAAGGTGTGTTTCTTTTAGTACATACCAAGGTGGAGTCAAATATACTGTTAACTTTTCCGAGCGAGTGCTATGACAAAACTTATTTAAGTATACAGATGAGGAAATGAACATTCTTGTCTTTGGTCATTAGCCAGGTAAGTCACAGATGATGTACTGACAAGTTTGAACCCATCAGTATTTGCGGTTGTTATTCTCAAGCTGAGATATCTGGCAACTACAAGCTTAGCTGTTAGATGAAAAGCCAAGCAATTAGCACCTTGGCATTTGGGCTTGCCTTCCACCAAGGATCTAAATATTGCCAGTGTTTTGAAACTGTTAGGCTTGTATCCAATACAGCGCTGCATAACCATCCTGTCAGCACAAGGATTTCCACTTGCGCAATGGTGCTTTTCCTTTTCTCCTCCCCCTACATGCCCCCTAAATCTGTTCTAGGATTCCCCCCCCCAATGCTCCAGAGCAGATTTTGGGAGGAGGGCACACAGCATGCACAGGAGGTGTAGGAAGAGAGGGGGGGGAATAAATCCTTGCACCAATGGGATAATGCAGGGGGCTGGATGACTCCAACTCTACAATTCTATGATTCTATGACAGCTACCCAGAGGCGTAAGAAGGTCAGGTGATACCCGGTGCAGAAAATTTTTTGTCACCCCCTCCACACACATTTTTTTTTTTGCCTGCAAAAATGGTTTTATTATTTATTATTATTTCATATTTACTTACAAAGGAATGTGGATTCTGAGCCTCTGATAACAAGTAGGTGACTATGGACAGATACTCAAATCTACAGGATGGATTGTGTTTTGGCTTGTGTTATTTTATTTATTTTAATTGTTTATTTATTTAACAAGATTTATTTTAAAAAACCTGCAAAGTGGTTTACCAAAACAAAAAACAAAAAAACCCACAGCAATAAAATCGAGAAAAAATTACAATCCTACTTCAAAACATACAAAAGCTAAAATATTAAGATTAAAATTACTTCAACTTCCTAAGCATCTAGGCATGCTTGCCTAAAGAAGAATGCTTTTAGCAGGTGCCCAAAAAGAGTCTAGCAAAGGCACATGCTTTGTTGAAATTTCAGCCTTCATGACATAGGAAAAAGGCCGAGTAAACAGCTATTTTCGTGGGGGAGGGTCAAGATATTAACTGATATGCATGAAATTTCATATGTAGCTATATAATCCCTAGTGTAGTAAGATAAGACCTTTGGAGCAGGCATTTTTTTTTAAAAAAGTTTTTTTTATGAACCGCCCTAGTAGGGCAGTAATTGTTCCTTGATAATTTGTCACCCCCCTCCATGATGGCACCTGGGGCGACCCGCCCACGCCCCCCCTTTCCTACGCCCCTGCAGCTACCTAGCACTACATGGGATACAAGCCTTAGGTTCCAAACTTAATCAATAGTTGCTCTCTCTATGCAAGAATTCTGTTCTGTTTATCTATTAGAAACATAGGGAAGTTGCCTTATAATGAATCTAACCCATGGCCCATCTAGCTCAATATTATAAGATCACTAGCAGCATTTTTTACATCTGATCAGGCCAGGCTACCTACCCCTCATTTCCCTCTACAGCATTTGCAGAAATCACCTTCTTGACCATTGGACCATCAGTCTCGCCTGCTTATAAAACTATACTTTTATCATTTGCCCAAATTTGAACAGTTACTGTTCCTTGTTAATTGTTTAAGCAAAGTCTGAGAACATGAGTAGTTCTGTACATGAAGTAACAATCTTCTTCCCCCCTTTTTCTTTTTAAAAATTAATGTAAAATTGTAGGTGGAATAGAAGAGAGAATTTTGGATCCAGAATTGATCTTCCATTCTTGGAGAGCCTTTGATCCAGCAAAGACTCTCACTGATGGAGGTGATTTATTTTAATTTTTGGCCAAATTTCCCACCTTTCTGCTTCAAGCTTCTATACCACCTTCCATGAAGGACTGAAGGATCCCCCAATTATCCAGAGTAGATTTTCAGGGACTGAAAGTGTTTATAAAGTACCCAGTGAATATGCACTAATGAATGGAGATCTAAATATATATACTGTAGTGCCATTCAATGGAAATTGCCTCTCCCTGCATCTATAAGAGGGAGCATTGCAAGAGTGGAACTCCATTCACAGAATTTTATGATCCAACCCATTTGTCTCTTTATTGTCATACCTGTTTATCTAATTTTCAGAATCTCTGTAAATGATCCTGTATGATTTTATGATGTTTTAAACAGATAAATTGCACAGAGAATGTTTACATTACTTTGCTTAGATTTTCTTCCACGTAGAGGACAGAAGCTGAATTACATTAGCCATCAACTCAGTGGTCCTAAGAGCTTCCTCATACGCTATCTTTTTAGCATGGTAAACATGTTGTGCATTTACTAGAAAGATAGCATGCAAGGCAGACCATCCCTCTTTATCATGTGTACACACAGTGCAACTGGAGTTTATTTTTAGTAATGTGAGTAAACAACATTTGCCGCTAGTAAATCTTCACTAGAACTGATCCTGCGTCTACTGTAAAGGTGACAGGTCATTTACATTTTCCTTACCATTAATTACCTTGTCATTTTACAGCTTTACAGTACAAACAACCACTACAGTGTCTGGGACTACCACCAGACAGAATCAGCTGGAAAGGCTGGTGAAGAGTTTGGATTTGATATCCCGCCTTTCACTCCCCTTCAGGAGTCTCAAAGCGGCTAACATTCTCCTTTCCCTTCCTCCCTCACAACAAACACTCTGTGAGGTGAGTGGGGCTGAGAGACTTCAGAGAAGTGTGACTGGCCCAAGGTCACCCAGCAGCTGCATGTGGAGGAGCGGAGACGCAAACCTGGTTCACCAGATTACGTGACTACCGCTCTTAACCACTACACCAAACTGGGGTGGCCATGAAATGTGCTCCCTTGGGAGGTAATAGCAAGACGGCAGGCTGTGCTATTTGCCAAATGAACATTTGCCCATTGAAAAACAGAAGAGGATGTTGCATGAGCATGACACTACACACACACACACACACACACACACACACACGGTCATACCTCGGGATAAATATGCTTCAGGATAAGTATTTTCGGGTTGCGCTCCGTGGCGACCTGGAAGTAACGGAGCGCATTACTTCTGGGTTTCGCCGCTCGCGCATGCATAGACAGTCAAAGTGATGTCACGTGCATGCGCGGAAGCAGCAAAAGGCAACCTGCGCACACGCAGATGCGCAGTCGCGTCTTACGTTCTGTTCAGGAGCGCATTACTTCTGGGTTTCGCCGCTCGCGCATGCATAGACAGTCAAAATGACGTCACGCGCATGCGCGGAAGCAGCAAAAGGCAACCTGTGCACACGCAGATGCGCAGTCGCGTCTTACGTTCTGTTCAGGATGCGAATGGTGCTCCGGAACGGATTCCGTTCGCATCCCAAGGTACCGCACTATAAACACTGTTAGGCTATAAACACTATTAGGCTATAATTTGAAGACTTCCCCCTTCCTTAACACTTTCATCAAGTGAAATATAAGAATTTTACACGTGTTACAAAAGCTATGCATCTTAGGGTAAGAAGCAATTAGAAAAATAGCCTTATTTCTCTTACTCCAAGATTTTGCAAAGTAACTAACGGTCTCTCTTATAAGAGTTAATTAGCAAAACAAGAGTCCTGGGATAGCTGGCTTTTCTATTTGCCACTTGTATGTATGTATGTATGTATGTATGTATGTATGTATTTACATGCTTTAGCTGAGATTCCTGCATTGCAGGGGGTTGGACTAGATGACCAACTCTCCAATTCTATGATTCTATGATTTATATATACCACATTTTCTCCCAAGGAGCTCAAGATGGTGCACATGATTCTCCTGCTTAAGAAATTCAACAGGGTTACCAGGAACACCCCCAGTCCATCTTCCACCCCAACCTCCTTCTGTGCTCACTTCTGGTAAACTAAAGGACATTGTTGCAGCCTCTTCAGGAGATCTCATACATTTTCCTGGGACACCTGCATGCCTGAACTCTTACTCTGGAAATAACGATAAGAGGCTGTCACCTCAGGTTCTCCTGAAAGGGGTAGGATTACAACTCGGTACTATACATCTTCGCACCTCTTAAAAGCAGGAAGGCACAAACAGTCAATATCAAGAGAGCACAAGCATCCACATCATTATGAGGGACAAGCCCTGGAACTGGATATGAGAGAGTGGGGAAGCCCATGGAGAAGCTTTTGGACCTGAGATCTAAGGCTGTCTCCAAGGCCAGAGAAGGAGGGCCAAACGCTGAATGTGTCAACCCAATCTAAGGAGTAGGGAAATTCCTCAAAAGAAGAAAACAAGGAAGACTGTACTCCTGTTCTTCTCTATAACTCATCTCTTCAGTGACTTAGAATCTTATGACTTGGTGGAGAGCGCCAAAGGAAGCACAAGCCACTCGCACTTCCTGTTCTCTGCTTCATTGTAATCTGTGAAGCAGAATCCTTTCATCACCCACCACCAATATGACCCTTGGGCTCCCTTCCAGCTCTACAGTTCTAAGATTCAATGATCTTCCTAATGAACATATGAGGGCCTGATGAAGAGAGGAAGCTCTCACATTGCACAGGGGGGAAATATGTGCATATTCTGCCTCAGACAGTACAAAGAATCATGGGACAAGACAGACCAATCCCCTTTTTGGCTCAAAGGAGGATCAGGCTCAATGAAACTTTGCAAAGCTATCACAAACATTTCATATGCTCTCCTTTCTGGAGAAAGTCACAAATCCCTGATACATTCCAGGAGGGTCTTACTTTGTGTCATACTTGGAAAATACAGTATAAACACATGAACAAAGGTTCAGGAATACATTATTTGTATCTAATTCTGCTTCTTGCTATGGGGAGGCTCTTTAATCCATCAGAGGCTCCTGTCAATGGAACAAGGAGGGGAATATCGATCCCAATTTGCCCTCCCCTCTTCACCCCCCCATGCCACCTCTCACATGGTTGAAAGAGTCCCCCAATTCACCAGGCTGATTTGGAGGGGTGGGTGGTAGATAATGCAGGGAGAAGAGGGAATATGCAAAAATTGCTTTCCTCCCTCCATTCTGCTTACATAAGCCTTCACTGAATCAACTGTCCATTACTGGAGGGACAAAAGCCCATCCTACCCGATATGACCTTTCTACTAAAAACACACACCAGTATTTCCGATTCCTCTTAAGCTGGTTTGTCTAGCTCAATGTTGTCTACTAACAGCATCTCCCTTGGGTCTCAGGCAGGGGACATTCCCAGCCCAAACTGGAGATGGCAGGGATTGAACCTAGAAGCTTCTGCATGCAAAGCAGATGCTCTGCTAGCACTGAGCTATGACTGTTCCTTTCTTCAGCTGCATCTCAAGGGCTGCAATGCATTAGGAGCTCATTAAATTGAAGCAACTTTTTGCATGACTATTCCTCCAGTGAGAAAAGCACAGAAAGTAATTTTTCCTGTCCAGAATGTTTCCTTTGGACAGTTTTACGGGGGAAAAAATAAAATCTGGCAAATTGTCTATCTGCACTCTCAGTAGCCGTGGATGTATGGCAAATGCCACCATAGTAAACCACAAGGTGATCTCCTGGGGTGCATGTGGCTCCTGTAGTCCACGTTTTCAGAAAACAGATGAGGTTTTCCCAAATGCTTGCTCAAAGAGCTAGTAAATTCTGAGCAAAAAGGGAGCTGATGAGAGATTTTACCCATCAATGTACAGTGCAGCACTTGTCACCACAAGATCCACTTTTGAATGCTTCGTGTATGTGTGTATTTACTCATGGACTGTTAGTAGCCCATTGTGGCAAGCATTGCCTTCTGATTCCCAATAGGAATCCAGAAAAACAACTGGCGTGAAGCCAGCAGAGCCCTTCCATTTGCAAAAGGGGTTCTTCCATTCCTGGAAGGGCTCCATCTCTTTGCAGATCTGGCTTCAGTCCAGCAGAAGCTCTCTCGGTTAGAGCAGGGAAATATGATTTTCACTTAGTTTCCCCTATCAATGCCCTAGGGACGCGGGTGGCACTGTGGTCTAAACCACTGAGCCCCTTGGGCTTGCCGATTGGAAGGTCGGGGGTTCAAATTACCCGCGTTACCTCTCATGGTGTTCTTGGGGGAAAGGGGTCTTCTGAGCCTCTGATGCAGTTTTTGTGGAGTAGGCTGCTGGCAGATAAATTTGGGAAATTCGCTTCCCTCTTTCTATCAACTGAAACATTCAACGAGCAGAAATCTGCTGGATCTATGAATCCAGCCCATTGGTATTTACGTTTCCCCCACATCTCCAGGGCAAATTTTGATGGAGGATAGGGAGCTACATGGGAAGAGGAAATCCGAGGAAATGATCTCTTTTTTGTAGGGCCTTACAGTAACCTCTGGTTCCAACTGAATAAGAAGAGTGAGGGGAGGCAATCAGCCTTTTTGTCCACACACAGAAAACAGGCAGCAAAGTGGACTGGAAATGCTGGCAATTATCCATATTTTCTTATCAGGATTTCTAGAAAGAACTGGAGTTCATGAAGGGCAAGGGAGTGGATGAATGGTGCATTTTGACTGGCCAGCATAATGTCCCAGCTGTCCAAACATCGGGCTCTGTCTCCATAGCTAATTGACTTAGGATATGCTAATAATGGTATTTCACTCAGAAGTATACTTTTTTTTAAAATCTGAACCATACATTACCTGTGGGTGTGAGTATGCTACCTTTGACACACACAAACACAAAAACACACACACAGGTCTTTATATCCATAACAAGTAGATAAAACTTCACGAGGCACAAGGAATACTGCTTAATTCAGAACTTTTCTTCCAAAATTGGACATGTTAACATACATGGAACACTTACACAGAATGTCATGTGTACCATCAGCCAAACTCAGAGTTAACTAGTATTCAGCAAAATATGTGCCCCTCTGCTGATCCTTTTTCACAGCACCCCACAAGGGTCACTTACCTCCTACCCATCCAGCTACAAAATCATCCAACTGAAGGCTGCCCATAATATTATTATTATTATTATTATTATTATTATTAAAAAAGCAGTCCTGTTCAGTTTTATTCTTGGGCAGTTTGCAGTTCACATTCAGCTCCTTCAGCACCAAGCAAGCAACAGAAGAGAATCTGAATCTGCCTCCTTCAGCCTGTTTTTTTCCACATCCCACAGTGTCCCAGAGTGACTGCAGCAGTTTGTTTCTTTGACAACTTTCAGCAGCCTCAGAACTGAAACAACTCTGATTCCAACCTCTCACACTGTGTCTCTCCCAAAGTGCCTTCAAAGCCCACAGTGACATCACACTCACCCAGTTTAAAGGGACAGTGCCACAAGAGTCAAAGGCTACAGAAACAGTCTTGGATATGTTACCAATTAAATGCAAATAACTAAGTTGCTTTGTTCACATATATGTTTTTTGCTTTTGAAAAAGGGAAGTTCTCTCTCTCTCTCTCTCTCTGTGTGTGTGTGTGTGTTGGTTTGCAACCCAAAAGTACAATTGTATGGGTGGATATCAGGGCCAGATTTAGGTTTGATGAGGCCCTAAGCTACTGAAGGTAATGGGGCCCTTTATATGTCCAGCTGTCCTTTGTCAACAAGCAATTTATCACTGTTTTTTGTGTTGAATATATGCTATATGGTAATTTATGGACCTAATTGTTATCTAAAGCCATTTGCACATAACAAATGTGTAAATAACAATTGTGGGGCCCATTACTTACATCATAGGAGCCTACACAACACAAAACACTGTTGCTGTATGTAGGTTTTATTTTATTTGTTTTTAATCTTATATTTTGGAAATGTACATCCAGGTTCCCCCCCTTTTAAATCCCCCCCCCAAGAGAGTGGGGCCCTAAGCTGTAGCTTGTTTAGTTTATACGTAAATCCGGCACTGGTGGACATATAGCTGGAATTACATAACCTGACAGAGTATAAGAAACCCAAAGTGGCCGGCGATATTTGCGGGGATGAAATGAAAGTCATCTCACCTCCTCATCCATAGGGTGAACATTACTAAGCAGTTACAGAAACATGAGAGCACCCTGCTTCTAAAAGATCTTGACAATCTTTAACTTAAATATCCTCCTGAAAACAGAAGAACTCAAGAAGATCGTCATGAATTCTCTGAATGAATAGGAAGGAAAATTTAGCCAAAAGAGAATTTAGGCTAAATAGCATTAGCTTTAACACAGGTGAGTTGCTACTGCTTCATTTTGAGCTACAGAGCAATCCTGGTGGGGGCCTGGGGAGGGTCTGGCACCCACCGCTTCAGCTGCAGCTCTGCCAACTCCTGCTGGCCAAGGCGGAAAGTGCGAGTGGGGGACAGTTCCCACCCACCCCACATTTTTTGCTGCACTAGCTCTAGGCTGGCCCAGCTGAGGAGTCTGAGGATCAGGGCTGTGGAGGGATTACAAGGATTTGGATCCAGCAGATGCAAAGCTGCCAGTGCCGTGAAACACCCTGGGTTGCTGCTAGTGGTACATTCCCACTTGGCAGGTGAAGCTTGCTTAGTGAGCCCCCTACTCCCCAGCAGCAGTGCTCTTCTCTACTGGCAGAGGCTGGTGAAGAGGCAAGTAGGCTAGGATGGGGCATACTTGCTCCTCTGTTAATACCCACCCATCCCCAGCCATCAACACTAGGACGATTGTTGTTGATAAACAGAAATATACCTATGCTCTTAATTGTTTTTCCAGCAAAATGTAATGGACAGGAAGGTGTTTCCAATAGATACTTGGATGTGGAAGTTTGTGCCATAATCAATTCACCTTTACGTTGTCTCTTTTCCCCTTTTGCTGCAACAAAACGTATTTCTAGAAGGAGTGCTCAGCTAATTATTTAATATTGTTATTTCCCCTGGTCTGTTTTAGATAGCAATCCCTTTGGGATATGGACTTGTCATACTTGCTGCGTCCTCTGTTTGTTCGCCCAAATGCCTGGACAGATCTTGCACCCATTCATCTTGTATGTGCTTTGGGTCAGTACACATGTCCTGCAACCTTTGTTTGCATCAGTGATCACTGAATCACATGTAAACTCCTTTCTTAGGTTCAAGTGAACATATGAAACCCAGTGTTTGGACCAGCAGGTGCAATACAATTGTCCACCCTCACACATGTTTATTCCATATGTGGCTTTTGTTACTGCTGAATTTCTTCCTGTGTACATTTCACTATATGCACACACTGCTTAGATCTTCTGGCTTACTTTTCACATTATTGTGACAGTGGTGCAAATGTCATGCAAAGAAGGAGACTGGACCAGCAACAAGCAAATTAATGGGTTGAATTCTTTGGAAACAGATTGCTAAACTGAGGCATATTTTAGGAGCAACATCACCTGCTGCCAGGTTACTGAGAACTAGAAAAACAGGTTTCCTAATCTCAGAATTATGAAATACAAAGTAACTGTCCAGAGTGGACAATGTATCACAGAGGTTGCAAAATGGTGAAGTCAGCATACACACAGAGTTATGTGTACTGTGCTGTTCCTTCACTGTATACACTGTGTATGTGTTTTGTCCCAAAAAGCAAATCCAAAGAAATTGGATATTGTATTCTGCACATTCATCAGGGTGGGGGGTGGGGGTATTTGCCCCTCTTTGTAAGAAAATGTCTATGTACCCAGTTCAATCATGGCTAGGCATACATTTGAATCTGAGCCTCCCAGTCCCAAACTCAGCACTGCATCCCCTACCCTGGCCTGGGCATTTAAGAAAATTTCCATGATGGAAATGACATTTTGCTACTCAGAATCCACAGAGCCCAGTGCTAATACTTTGAATGAGGGTTGGGATTCACTAGCACAGTAGTAACCAAACTCTCAGGATTTTTACTCCTGACCTTTAGTTATACATTACCAGATAAAACCAGTGGCACATTAACTAAGATCATGTAATTTCATAATGTGATGACCTCAGTTCTTTACTTTTTACCCCAAAGGTAAAAGATTTCCAACTGTGAATTGTGCAGACCCAGAATGAACTCTTATTTCCTCACGTCTGTGACTATTGTTAAGAAAACAACCGCTTATCATTTAAGTGCCTTCATATTTAAGTTAAGCTTTTAGAGAAATAATCCCTAGAGGTGTAAAGAAGCAGGCCAGTCAATCATGAAAGCAAATGATCTCACTGAGATTTTCTAAAACAATACAGTTTGGACATGAACAAGTTGCGAAAACAAAGTCAACTATGGAAAATGTGTGAGAGACCACTGTGTGACATCTTCTGAATGTCATTATCATGATCCTGATTTTATAAAAGTACAGTACCAGTGAAGGAAGATATATTTATATAATGTATGTGCAAAAAGATGAAGAAAAGATAATTAAAAAATGAAGAAAAAAGATTACCTTTTCAATTAATAATTATACTATCATATACATGGCCATATAGACTAAGAATAAGTGTGCATTTGATAATAATCATAGATCACCCTTAACAAAGTACAGTGGTACCTTGGTTTACAAACTTAATCCATTCCTGAAGTCCGTTCTTAAACTGAAACCGTTCTTAAACCGAGGCGTGCTTTCCCTAATGAGGCCTCCCGCCACTGGTGCCCTTCCACCATTAGGATTCCGTTCTTAGACCGAGGTAAAGTTCGCAAACCAGGACACAACTTCCAGTTTTGCGGAGTTCATAAACCGAATCGTTCATAAACAGGGCTGTTCTTAAACCGAGGTACCACTGTATGTGTGAGTTGCATTTGATTGTGCCTTAGTCATCCAATGCATTATGAACATACTTCATTCTTCTACAAAGCATTCTAAAACTGCCTTCCCCCTCTTGCCCTATCCGATTGGTCACTTTTATCATATTCACTATACCCCATACTTTGGTTAACCAATCTTCTGAATTTCTGTTTGAGAGTATGCTCCAGACTTCCACTGTGACAGTTTGAGTACTTACCCAATCCAAACTCCTGTTGTCCCCACTCTTCAAGTCATGCCAGAATGAATTTGGTGACTATTCTTAGCTCTTCTGCAACATGAAGTTGAATTACATACAGTGAAAGAAAACAGTAACTGGAAATATAGTACAGGTCTAAAATTAAATGAGGGGGTTTGGTTTTTGCTGTCCAACAGCAGCTCAGAGGAAAGATGACCTGTCAGAAATGTCTGTGAGAGAAAAAGTGCCAAGGCATAATACTCTTCAGTGGGCTTACTTTATTACATCAGCAGATTAACAGCTTCTCTATTATCTTCTCAGCCGTCTCAAGAATGATTGACATAGCAAGTCTAATAAGGCTCGCCTTTCCAGCTCTTTAGACATATTGCCAGTCACAAATACCGGAAGGTAAGACTGGTTGAATTCTGTCATCTCTTAGTTCTGAGCAGACAGGGAAGAGAAATTCAATTCCGTTCTCATTTAAAGGCAAACCTAACTATTTCACACTTTTTGAGACATTGTACAAACTGAAAGACAGCCATCCTGTGAAATTCAGGCTTCTCCAAACATTGCGATGCAGTTCTCCAGCCAGGAAATGTGTGCAAAAAGTCACACACTAGGAGAAAAGGTATATTAAAAAGCATATATCTGTGAAAAGTAAAAAATTGCTTTGTAAAAGTGAGCCTAATAGGTAAAATTGCATACAAATGTTATATTAGGAGAAATTCGCACTGAAATACTGTTGATTTTGCATGAGGAGTTAAAAAAATTCGCAAACGGATTTGCTAATGTAAAGAACGGAGCATAAGATTGGACAAATGAGAAACTGAGGGAAACCAAAATCATTGCACACCATTGCTCAAAAATATGTGTTAAATTACTGTATGGTTCCTTAAGCTGCCTAGATAAAACTTTCAAAACACATATGTGCCATATTTTTGCAACTTTCCCCAAAACCGATTCATTTTCGCTGGACTTTGTTTAATAAGATAATCACAACACACACACTCCATCTTGAAATGCTGCTTTTCCCAGGAAAGGGGTACATGTGCAACTGTTTGTATGTGCCTGTAAACGTAGCTCAAAGAGAAAGAGAAATAAAGAGAAATCCTGGCTCTGATGACCCCACAATAAAGAGAAATCCTGGCTCTGATGACCCCACAAACCTAAAACTCTAACTACATGTGATATTAAATGGGCCACTGCCCATTCACATCAGTGGCTTTTGTTTATTTAATAGTGAACACCCACTTTTTATCAAGACTATGATGCAAGGGTGATTTCACATCTCCATGTGATATCCATGAAAACCCCTCCCCTGCCCTGCTATTGGTAGTGATGCATTTAGCAT